GAGCTGGAATGGGACTGTGAGATCTTCTAATTCAAGCCCTTCATTTACGTCTGGCAAAATCATGTCCTAGAGAGAACATCCAGGGTTAGACAACAGCAGCTAATTAGTGACAGAGCCCAGTCACTGAACCTGGTCCCATACCTCCAAGTCAGCCAGCTACCTGCTGCCTCATGCTACTGAAAGTCACCCTGGCCTGGACTATTGAGATTATTGGCTACTGTTTTCTCCAACACCTCTGGCCTTGAATGTTCTAGAAACTTAAATCTTCCAAAAATCCCTAACTGAACAAATCCACAAGAAAATAGGCTCAGCGAATGTCTTCTCTGGAGACGTTACTAAAAAGTGAGCAATCACAACAGACCACACCAAATTTCATGCCGAAATCTGTTCTGCTTCAATGAAACCACGGTCAGTCAGAGGATGCCCAGAGCCACAGTTGTTCCCAATTAATCCTGTTTGAGAAGGGCCATGGCACAGTTGAGGACATGAAGAGCAAATGCACTCTGACCATGTAGAGGTGTGTGCAACCTCTGGCTTCTCAGTATTTTTAGGTAAAATAAAAGACTGAGTTATGGAAAACTATTAGCAACAACAAAAAATACTTTAAGGCTCTGGGCCATCTACATGTGTGCTCACAGGTTCTAAAATGAATCTTCTGAAAGACTTCTTTGGTCCAGCTTCAATCTTGTTAGAAATCCATCCAGGCAAGAATGAAGTAATATCTACACTGGCCTCATACTTCAAAGTTCAACATCCCCATATAAGAATGCTCTGAAAGAAGGTGTCCCCAACTTTTTCTCAAGCTGGCCCGCCTGTAAGAAGCAACCCAATGACAATCCGATCTGAACCAAGCATCCAGATACCTGCCATCCATAACGTAAGCTCAACAAATGGCCCCTGCCTACCCAGGGCAGCTCCTGTGCTCACGTGTCCCACATCACACACGTACTCACATCCCATAGTCTCCTCTCACTCCTGTCCATGCACAAAGTACATCCACATACCTTATCAGCTGCACCACACAAGGCTTAGGCTTGTCTCCAGTAGAAGAGTTGGTCCTTTTCCAACAAACTCAATTTTAAATAAAACTAAATCTAAAACCCTAGCAACGGTCATTAGTTCAACATCCCCAACGTCAGAAACTGCCTGCCTCATTAAAGAGTAAAACAGCAGCTGGTGAGGCTTGAGGCAGGGTGGTGGGCTTTAAAGATCTTCTGTGTCAACCCACCATCTCACTTCTGGGCAACGCACAGATTTACATTCCCTCCAGTTGGGGTGGGAGTGCTGTAACTGCTCAGGAAACGGTCTGGAGAAGTTTGCTGCAGAAGCTGCCTGCTCCATCAGGCATCCTGAATGTAGGGGAAGAGGAGAGGCCTGAACATCTGATACATCTGGGAGTGGAACTGCAGAGATGGGAAATGTTATGCAATTAAACTCTGCTGGCCTGTCCCGCCTGGGGAACGTGAGACCCATCAGCAGTGACCTCTTCCAATCAACTTAATTGGCCCAATCTCGCCAAGAAAAGCAACAGAATTGGTTTAGTGCCTCTTGGAAATAGCTTAGCTCCTGACTATTTATGGCCACTGAACTCAAGGATGGGAGCCTGACTCTGAGCCAGGAGTTGACAGCATGTGTTAACTTCTGGGAAGAACTGGAGGTTTCAGTGGCTTTCCGTGCCCCTCTGCACCTCCATCTTCATCTCTGGGGAAAGTGGCTGTACCCAACTTGCTGCACTGGGCACAAATAATTTCAAAGACCCAAAGCCCATGCTTTCCTCTTACCAAGCAGGCTGGGCTTGCCCCTCTTTCATTCAAATGGTGCCTATATGTCAAGGACAATTATTATTTTTGCTGTTCTCCAAGTCACATTTGCTTTGGTGCTCTGGTCTGCACAGCTGATGTTAAAAAATAAAAGTCTGTCTGTCTCTGATCATCAATAACATTGATTCTTAGACTACCTTTCCTCTGAATAGCTCAAAGATCTTAAAGATTTCCATCATTTATAATCCAGGCTCGGGTACCTCCAGCTTCTGGATGAGTAAACTGAGGCAGTTTTAAAAAGTTTTATTTACACAGTGAGTGAGCAGTAGAGATGCTATGGGCATAATGACTTAACTTCTGATTAAGTTGCACTGTAAAGAGAAAGAGGTCCAGATCCCATTTTCACAATGACCTACATACATGCTAGCACCTGTATTTAATTACATTTCATCTTTGTACAACTGTATACAACTAAACACACCAAGTTTTGATGGGGAAAAGAGGAGCGAACTTTCCTCCTCCCTGAGTCATTATATCGCCATTTTACTAAAAGAGAAACACAGAGTTAAAAGAGGTTAAAAACGTCACCAAAGTCACACTTTTCCCAAATGGCAGAACTGGACTCGAATTAAGACATTCCCTATCCAAAGTCTTCCGCTTCACCACCCTGCCCTTAGAAATATCTGCCCCGATATTCTCACCAATAGTCAAGCACTGTATGAACTATCTCTTACACAGATGAGTTCTCCCCTCAAAAATAAGGTAGACCCCTAAAATCGCACAGCTGTAACTTCATGAATTCAAAACTGTCATGAGACAAAAAGTCCTCTCACACATATGCCCTCCGCTGGTCAGAACCTAATCAAATGGGGTTCCCCATCATGCTCCAGACAGGCCGATATTTATGCATCACGAAAGCACACCCTTCACTCTCTTCCTACCCAGTTGCCTCACTAGTCATCTGAGGGTATGAATTGGACCAGCTACACTGTTCTCTCATTCCCCAAAGTCTAGGGCCCTTCTTTTGCGTACACCTTTTTTCACTGAAGACGCACATCCGGATATCCAAGACAATCTTTATCCTTCCTCAGATACACAGAATTCCTGCAAAAATCCATAGTGGCACCTCCTTCACAAGAGCCAGAATGTCCACCCGTCCTATCCTCCTGGCTAGCTTTCTCCCAGTTGCATGAGTCCAGGCCAAAGTGTGCATGCCCACACACGCGCACACACACACACACACACACACACACTCAGGTTAGCTTTACACTCAGCCCAGAAAACATCAAAGATGAACGAACACCCCCAGTCCATCTCTTCCCTGATCATGACTTTACCATTCTCTAGCTCCACATATGAAGTCTCATTCCAGCTATGAAGGAAGCCCTGCACACTCTCAAAAACTCAATCCTCAAAGGGATCTGGACCTACATTCTGACCTGAAGTACAGCACCCTCAAATTCCCAGCCAACACCCCCTACAAGAAACAGCAACAGCACCCAGCTCCCTTCCCGACACACAGAAGTCTACATCTTCCTTATCTTTATGCTCCCCTTTTTACAAAACCAGAGATATATTTCAAGTCAGCTTCCCTTTGGCCCCCAAGATCCATAAACATCTCTAGAAACTGAATTATAGACCTTGAAGAAACCTCAACAAGCATTGAGGTCTATTTCTGGCAAAATAGCAGCATTTAGCTGAGCCTGGAGAAGGAATTTTTCCAGGGCAGTGTGCCATGCCCCAGTACCCAGCAATGGGCTGAGCATCCAGTAGGCAATCCATTAGCTTTAACTGATTATCAATATGAACTGGTGATAGTGAATTCCCCCATTACATAAGAAACCCATTACAAAACATTATACAACATGCATTCCTGACACTAGGCACGAATAGTGTATTCCTCCACTTACTCAGTCTTATGCACACATCTCTTCTCATTCTCACCCAGTGCCAATGCACAAGGACTTTTCCCCTTAAATGTACATCTCTCATTCTAAGCCTCTTCCAATTCTCTCCTCTCTGGGGAGGAAGGAGAGGGGAGGCAAACACCAATCCCTACCCAGTGTCCTTCCATACAAACGCTTTGTCTTTCCATAAAGGGCATTTGAGCTCACACTTTTCTACCCCACATGCCCCAGTGCCATTCCAGCCAAATTTCCCAGTGCACCCTCATAAAGTTCACACCCTATGCTCCTCAGATAATCTTTCCCCGCCCCCCACACACATCCCTTTGGTAATCCTCAGGAGCTGAACCTTCCACATGCATCCACCTTTCGCTCACACACGCAGCCGCCCTCCTACACCACACCCACTCCATGTGTTTGTGCAGGCATGCACAAGCCATCTGTCTTCAACAGGCTGCACCTCTCCTCCTGCTCTGACACCCTTCATAGGCACAGATTTCGCATTAGCTACACCTATGTTCCTGCAAGCTCTTATCTCCCGCTAAGCGCACAGATGCCCATCCGACAGACTCCCCAGAAACACACACCTCCCAGGCACCAGAGAGGGATGGGACTCCAGCTCTTTTGCCACCTCCCCCTACACGCACGCGCGCGCACACACGCACACGCACACGCGCACCTTGGAAAAACATCCCTATCCCTCCCTGACCACTCAATGGTCACAGTCTCACTCCATAGATAAGCAGATCCCATTCACACACAACCAAATCCTCTAAATCCAGCTCCACTCCAGTCTCACCAACACAAAATCCCACACACTCACTAGGGGAAACACCCCAGACTTCCTACCTTCCTTCAACACTGTTTACCGGTCGAACCTGCTTTATTTTCCAACCCCGTTAACTCCCAACGCCATACCCAAGTCTGTGTTTGCACCCAAGACAGAGGCGGTTGGATTTTATCCTCTACATTCTACCCCTCAGCTTTCTTTGTGCGACGTCTCAGGAAGGAATTGAGGGCAGGCAGGAGGCAGACTGAGTATGCTGGAGAACTTCTGAGTGTTGTGGAAACAGGACCGCTGGAAAAGTCCCCTGTATGTTACAACTTTCTCCCATCCTGACGTTTAGGACAGGGCGCTTCCATGTTTTCCTTGCTCTCGCTGTTTTGCGGGGTAGGAGCGGGCATCTCTTTATTAAAAAGCATTGAGGTCTATCTCAGTACACACCATAATCAGATGAGTTACAAACATCAGGCTCCAGGACAAACACCCACTCCTTCCAGGCTCCCCTCCCCTCTCAGCAGGCCCCCGCCCCCACCTCTTCACACACATAAACAAGTCCACAGGCGCACAGTCTGCTGAGCTCTCTAGTTCTGAGCCCGGCGCTCCCGGGAGCGGCCTCCATTCGGACTCAGAACCTGCCGCCCGCCGCCAGAGGCCAACGCCAGACGATCTTTTCGGTGTTTCCACCACCGGGAATCCCACTCGCGCCACGATTCCAGAAAAAAAGGATCCACAGCCCCCACACGGTTCGACGCAGTGGTCTCAGTGCAGTGCATCGGAAGCGCAGACAACGAACCAACGCACGCAGCAGCCAAACTCCTGCAAAGAAGCAGCGCCTCCTGGACGCGCACCGACTCCAGCCGAGAGCAACAAGCAGAAACCTACTCCCCTAGCACATCCCCTCGGCCTTCGCGCCTCCTCTCCCTAACCTTCAACTCCCAAGCGTCCCAAATTTCATCAGGAGCATCCACCACCGAGTAAATCTCTGGGGCAATGGGGCAGTTCGGTCCGTCGTGGGACCTTTAAACTCCGACCTGGCTGGCTGCGCGGGTGCCCGGGTCTCCCAGCCTCCCACGCCACAGCTGAAAGTCCGAGAACCGGCTCGCCGAAACCGCGAGGAAATCCCCAGAGATGGCCCGGCCCCGGTGGCCGCAGCTCCCTGTAGGGGTCCCAAAGGTGCGGGCTGCGCACGGAGCTCCAACATCTGCGCAAAGGCCCAATGTGGGGTGGCCGCCGGGTGGGCGCTGGCCAAGAGAAGCCCGCGGCTCGAGGTCTTTTCTGAAAAAAACCTTTCGGGGGACTCCGACGCAGGTACGCGGCGTGGGGCGGTGAGTCCCAACTCCCAAAACTGGAATGCGACGTTCCGGGTCCTGAGCTGCGCGTCCCCTCCCCCAGCCCACGCCCTGGCCCCGGAGGTGCAGGGGCGAGCTGAGAATCAGGCGCAGTGGCCCGCAGGGTGCAGGGCGTGTGCAGGGAAGCTGTGGCCGCACCTCCCCGCCCGGGGTTCCTGTCTGCCACCCCCTTTTGTTATAGGATGCGCGGGGAGCTTTCTCAGAGAAGCTGACCGGTTGGTTGGGGGTGGTGGATGGTTGATTCTGTTGCGTCTCTTTCCTGCCTTTCCGTCGTCCCCCATTCCCCTCGCCTCCCCCCACCCTTTCCAATCCAGGTCCCTTAAACCTGATCGCTTTCCCAGACTGAGGGAGGCTTCTAGGGCAGCCGACAGACAAGAGGGGAGGAGAGGAGGTGGAGAAGTGTCCGTGTGTGTGTGCGCGCGTGTGTGCGTGTGTGTGTGTGTCTGTGTGTGTAGGGGGTGGCTGCGGTTGTGCCTCGGCTCGGGCAGATCCCAGCGCAAACTTTGGGGAAGGCACAAACCCGGGAAAGTAAGTGAGCGCGGCGCGATGGGGGTGGGGCGGGGTGCGGAGTTGGGGCCCCCGCGCCGGTCCACTGGAAAATCGCTCCCCACGCGGCCCCCCATCCGCAGACCTGCCCACCCAACATGCCCGCCGCCTCCCCTTACCGTGGCAAAAGTAACCATGGCATCCGTGTGACCGTTTCCAGGGACGTCGACATGAAGAGAAAGGTGGACGCGAGCTCGGTCATTCAAAGTCTCCCCCACCCCGCCGCAGCCACTACCCAGCAGGGGAAAATGGAGAGGCAGAAAGAAAGGAGAGAGAAGAAAGTAGTTGCGCCGGGCTGTGTCGCGGGGCGGTGCGCGGAGCTGTTCGGTAGGGAGAGGAGCTTCAACTCTGAGTCCCGTGAACATAATCTGCGCGGTTATAACCAGCCAACCCGGCCAGATGGCTCCGCGCTCAGCGCCTTAACCCCTTACGCGCCGCGCCGCCCGCCCCCGCCCGGCCCGCGCAGCGCCGCGCACGCCGGTGCCCCAGAGCTCCTCGGACCTCGCTTCGGGACCTGTGGCGGGGAAGGGGTCATTTCTCCTAGTCCCCCTTGAAAAACAAAACAAAATAAAACAAAACAGAAACAGCCACAAAAACTTCCAAATCAGTAGTATTCATCAGTAGCCCCCACCCTTGAGTTCTTTTTTAGAGATCCAGGAAAAAACGAAACATTAAATTTACCGTAACAGGTTACATGTTAGTGTCTTCAGCCTTTCTTAGTTGTTCTTTTTCTTGAAATTTTTCTTTTTGATCTCTTTTCTTTTACAAGGCATTAGGACCTTTTTCTGGCCCTTTCCTCTGGCGGATCAGGTCTGAGGCGTAAACTCCTCCTCCAAACCTTAGACCCTTCCAGCTCTTGATCTCTCCCCACCCCCTACCAAGCCCACCCGCCACTCCTCCCCCCACCCCACAACATGAACACGCCCTAGGACAATCGCTCCCCGGCGAACTCGCCGCTCCCGGGGACCGGCGCCCAGGACGCGGTGTCGGCGGTCAAGGGAGGTCAAGGTAGAGGGCGTGGGGGCGGGTGGTCCGAGGGACTAGGGAGGGGCTGTGTGTGTGCGCGCGCGCTTGTCTGCGGGAGCTGGAGTGTGGAAGGGAGAAGGGAATGGATCACAGCCTCCCATTTCACCCAGCCTCCAGCTTCTAAACCCCTTCCTTCCAAACTAGGATGGGGCCCTGCAGTTAATCACTCGCCCAGCACCCACCAGTCTGCACCCGGGGACAGCGCGAGAAGCAGGAAAGGCGAGCAACAAACAAACCTCTTCGTGGCGCCCAGAAAGTAATGACGCGCACTTCCCCACCGGTGGATTCATTCGAGGAAAGGATGGGGGAGGGGGCAAAATCTCTTATTTGGAGATAATTTTAGCTGCCCGTTAGACCCCACTTGCTCCGAGCCGTTCTCTCTAAATTTACCAAGTTAAGTCATCGTGCTTTCGCCCATTTGCCATCGAGAGAAGTGTGTGTGGGGGGGATATCACTTAGGGATCAACGAGAAATCGAGAACCCTGGAGCGGAGTTTTGCCCTTTTGCCCCCTGCCCGAGTCCTTGCGTGGTGGACCTTCTCTCCAAGCTCCTCATCCCTTCCTCCCGGCCACTTCAGCCACTCCTCACATCACCTCCTGCCAGGACCTTTTGACTCACGCGCGACTGGGGTGGGGAGCGAGTATCCCGTTTCCTCCCTGCCCTGTCGTTGGAGGTGTCTAATAAGCAAGCCACTCCATGTTTCGGTTAGGGCTCAGGTTCAAAAAATCCAAATACGTTGGAATTGTTTGAGATTTTGGTCAAACAGCAGAACTGCACCCACCGGTTCAGGACCAACCGGACACAAGGAGAAGCTGGGGGGTTTGATGGGGAGGTGGGAAGGGAGGGGGAGTCTGGGGGCTGCGTACTAGATAGATTGTACCTGCCTCATCATTATCCTGGCTGATGGGGGTTGCCACATCGAAAACGGCCGGAAGCGCCCGCTGAGGCCCAGGGGCGTCACCTCCTGCGGTTCCTCGCAAGGGTAGGGTCCTCCTTCAGTGTCTCCCCTCGTGCCAAAATGTCGACGTCTTCCTCAGGGCCAGACGAGGCTGCCGACTCGTTCCCTCCACCCCGACACACAGCACCATGAAGGTTTGGATTGGGCGTGCTCTGTCGGGTTCTGCTTTTCTCCCTCTCATCTGGCCCGCCTCCCTGCCCTCCCCCACTTCCCGCACTTGCCCCCCTCCTCCAGCTTCTTGCCCTGGTCAAAGGAGGGATTCAGGCCCCAGTTTCAGATCCACTGATGGAGTTCTTTCCTCAAGCTCCAGATCCTCCGGGAACCTTTTGCAAGGAAAGAGGTGGTTGGCTCCTGCTGCAGCAGGGAAGGGGTTAAATACATGTGCGGACTGATCTGCAGGCAGCTCCCAGGTCCCTGGCAGTCTGGAGGGAGGAGGGGAAGGGGGGCAAACAAACTTGAAAAATCAGAAGAAACGAAGAAGAAGAAAAGGCAGCAAGCAGTGTCTTTAGGACTTGGATTTCTTCTGCAGATGCCTTGCACTGGCTGGCCGCCTCACTTTGCCAAGACTTTCGGGGATCCCAGGAAGAGTTTGTATTGTTTCCACCTCCAGGGGGTTTTGTCCTGAACTGGTGGGTCCGTCTTTGCTTGCAATCAACAGGCCTTGTAATATGAGAGGTGACACCTTAATCTTGCCAAATATGTGCTGTGTCTTTGTGGGGAGAGGGGAGGAGGGACGGAGGGAAGGAGAGAGGAAGAGGGAGAGACCCAGACAGGAGCAGAGGGTGAAAAATGCACTTTTCCTCAGACGATTGGTTTCCCTAAGGGAGAGCCTTAGCCCTTTTCTGGGCGTCTTTCACACAATCTCCCTTGAGCACCACGAACTGCCTTTTCCTTTACTGTTTTCCTTTAGACTTCAGACCTGAAGATGTCTTGCCTCTAAAGACTAGGGAGTGACACCACCCCCCAGGTCTCTGTAGTGGCTTCCAGGAGAGCAGCAAGATGCTAAATGAACAGGGTGGGCAGAAAAAAAGAATTAGAAAGGTGTATTTTTGAAAAGATAGAATAAAAAGATTATTATATACAATGTAGAGCCATTTTTAAGCTGCAGAATATTGTGACTTCTAAGTAAATCCGTGTTTCTAAATAGAGATTTTTCTTTTCTATAGAAAGACCATAGTGGTATGTATAGCAAAAGCAAAGATCAGGACTGGAAAGTTAGCTGGCTAGGCTGCGAGCTCGTGCCCCATAGACAGCCCTGGTTAAGGAAGCATCCAGGATGAGATCTTTTAGGATTCACTAGGCAATTGTCCCTCTCCAAGTTGACTTCGTGGCCATGACTTTGGCTGTCCATCTGTCGACTATATTTTTAGGTTGCTGAACTTTCTTTTTCTCCCTGTTCCCTCTGAGCCTAAGTCCCTGACTCCTGAAAGTGATTTCTGAGAGCAGGAACCAGATCTTGTTTTTGAAAACCCCCTTTAAAACTCTTTCCTAAAGCAAATTTCCAGAGCATGCCTTCTGGGTACCCTTATCTTTTGCAACAGCACCACTCTGTGGTTGGAACACTGAACAGAAACAGAACGTGGGATTGAATTTTGCCTTTACCTCATGAAAAACAGCACTTCTCTCCTCTGTTTGAGCTCAGTGGACTGTGTGTTGTGGTGGGGGCTCGGCATGTGGTGAGGGAGGGGGCCCTGTGCAGTGGCAGTATGTGGTTAATTCATTGTGACATGTTGACCCAGGAAATGAGAGAATTGGACCGAATGGCCTCCTAGGACCCTGTTCGTGTCAAAGACAAGCTTGGTTTCCCACCCCCCACCATGATTGGGTAGGTAGCCTTGAATGTTTGTTCTCTTCCATTGCTTTTCTTTCTCTCTCTTTTGAAATTACTGAAATAAACGCCACGTTTTTCACTGATCCTAAAGCATTTGCAAGTTGCATCTTCTGCTGCTGGAGGGCGCTGTGGGGAGGCCCTGCCCTACCCCATCCATCCCACTCCCATCCACCCAGACAGCTGCCAGAGCTGACTGGAGTCTGGAAGTCTCCGTTTTTCAAACAATTAAAGTGAATGCAAAAGGTGTTTGCACAGGGACTGGAGCTTAAGGGTCAGGAAAGGCGTCTTCATGCTACCTTGGCGCCTCCGCGCTTGAAAGATTCCTGGCTGCCCACCCATTACTATACATCTACTGGCAACAGCGTTATTAACCAACAGCTACACAGGCTGTCAGGCCACATAGCAATTCCACTCAGATGCCCTGGAGTCATCTGTGAGACGTAATTCTTTTCTTTCAAATTGGATCCAGTTGCCCACAGAAATGGAGTGGCTTGTTTATGTTTATTCAGCAAGCCCAGGTCTTCCCCCAAATTTCTATCATCTTAAGAAAGCACAGCTTTGCTCCAAGGACCAGTACTCTAAACAGAACACAGACATCAGAGATCAACTTCTATCATCCTACATCCTCAGTCCACATTTAATAACTGAGGAAACTCGGAATAACGTTAAACAAAAACATAATAACAGACCAGGACCTAGAATTCACTGCCAGGGTAGATTTTGGTGTCTGAGAAATGCAGGTTCCCCTCTGCCTTCACCCGGTAGCCATGTGTTTTTGGACAGGTTTCTTAACTTCTCAGAACCATCTCGAGTTGGTGAAAACAACACCAATCTCACAGAAGTAATATGAAGACCAAAGGAACTAATGAATTTAAAACACTCAGCACAGTGCCTGGCACAATGTGAGTGCCAATCCCAATCTGATAGTCCTTACACTGAAAACACCGTCACACCACTGGGGGAATGACTGTCTTTAGAAAGAAGCTTGGCTCTGGAATGGCCTGGGTATTATTATTTGTGTGCCACCCATACACATTTCATTAATATAATTTTATGGATGTATATTGTCCCCTTTGGACAAATACAGCAAGAAATTAGCAGAATGACATAGTGGACATACTTAGAATTTATATAGCTTCCTAACGTGGATCTCAACGTGCATGAAAGACAGAATTGAAGAATTTCAAAGTCTCATCTTATTCATTCTCTGCCTCTCACCCAGAACCACCTCATCATTTAAAAGGAAATTCCACCATATCCTTCAACTCTTAACAGATTGCCTGGGCATATTATTGGTTTGTTGTTATTGCTAATTATGTTCTAGGGCTTACATTGAACAATATAATGGATTGCATTGAACAACAGTGAATCAACTCATTTTGTGACATGGCATACATATTCATAATTATGTTTCAAGAAATTACCCATAATGATAGAGGGAAAGTATGTATTCCTACCACACAGGTGGATATAGAAATCATAATAAAGTCTCCTATTTCACCAATCGTGATATGAATTCCTAACCACCCTATAAATTAACTTTATGCTGCACCGAACTCCACTCATAAAAAAATGACATTAAGGTTTCCTAGGTAACTAATGCATTTCCAAAGGGAATAGGCCACAGGAGACAAAGAGGGGAGGGAAAAGGGTGGGGAGGGGAAGTGAAGAAAAGAGAAAAAAACATTCGATGAGACCCATGTGACATAAACAAAATATTTCACGGGGAGGAACCCATAAAGTTTTATTACCTGGGTCTGACATAGATACAGCATTGCCATTAATTCCATCTTTGGACAATGAAATACCTGATAGGCTATCCCTCTCATCACATATGCTGGCATTTCATATTTCAGATCAAATTCTACAAACCTTGAGAGGAATTCAATTCTTCCATTCATCTGCTAAGCCGTGTCCACTCACCAGCCAGCTGACTCTTGAGCCCTCCACCAAATGTTGAGATGAGGGTGAAAAATGGGGTTGATTTGCATGTTTCGGAATATACAGATGCTTTTGATCACTGTGGACTCTAAGAACTTTGGAGTGGATCTGTTCGCCTTAGCAGAAAGCTGGGGCCTGAGAATTGAATTATGGGAATTGAGGTTTGTTTTGCAACCCCTCAACCCAGTGGTGTTTCACTGTGGCTTCCTTCATTTGGGGGAGGGTCTGGATGCTAAAGAACATCTTAAATGCTTTGGAGGAAAATGGCAAGTTGTAGGTGGAGTTTAAGGCTGAAATTTACACTGTAAGAACAGAGAAATTCTGATAGGCAATGCAATCCAGAGAATTATCCATGGGTTAGAGACAGGGAAATGAGAAAAGGAGATCCAGTCTTGTCATTGTTTTGTGAGCTCAGGGAAGTAACTGCACTTTTTGGTTCCTTGGTTTTTCCGTGTGTAAAGGTACTTAACCTCATTTTCTTTTATGACTGTGAATATAAATAAGAAAACAAAGAACACACGAATGTGAATACAGTTAGAAATTTTGTATTATCTGATTTCTTCTACTTTCAGTAGCCTTAGAGTGACATCTGTGAATGAAGTCTCCAGCTGCTTACCAGACACAGCCAGGTGACCCTATAATCCAAAATGTGGTGAGTTTTCCAGCAAGTACCACGGCTGACGTGCTCCTACCCATTAGCACTGGGCAGTCAATGTAGAGTAAAGCCTGCTTTTTGCACTTTCCCTGACTTGCTGGAGAAAGGACACAGGACGCAGGTTCGTGGCTAGAAAGCCAAATGGAAAGCTAGAACTGTCTCCATCACACAATTTCTTCTATTGGGCATAGAAGTCATTTTAGGCTTTAACTCTGTTAGGGGACTTGGAGTGGCATTAGGGATTAGAAGAGCCTTCCGGCCACACCCTCTATTTACCACTTTTACTGGTAGTAAGGGGCAGGGAATGTCTGGGAAGTAAATGCCTAATGACTCAAGGTGCAGCCTTCACAAGGATTTGGACCAAGCAGGTTGGGAACCCAGGTCTCCTTACTCCTAATTTGGACCCATCCAGACTAGCCATACCTAAGAGCAACATGTGATGAAATCTCCCTTGAGTACTCACCTCCTACACGCCTGCCTTCAGAATCTCAGGCTGGGAGATCCTGCAAATGTCACTTCATTCATCTTCCTGCCCCCAAGACCAGCCCTCACCTTCCACTGATAGGTACAAAGCAGGATGGGGTAAAAAAGGTTCATCCTAATCTCCATGTTTCCTTCAAAATATTCCTCTCTCTACTCAGCCATTCAGAAAAACTGAAGAAAAGGAGTTAGCCACTGTGTTTTTACTTTAAAGATCCTCTGTCTAGTGTTCCCATGAAGCATTAGAAAGAGTTCTTGGAAGGGCTAGAAAATACGAGTTCCAGTTAAAATAAGCTTGCATACCACTATCTCCAACACACACAAACATATACAGACTGACACGCCTCATGCAGCCAACCCATCAGATGATTTGCTGTATTTACCAATCAATTCACTGACGGTTCTGCTCCTGTCTGTGCCCTGGGAGCAGGCTGTCCTCAGGCCCCAGTTCAGAATGCAAATAATGCTCAAGAAGCCAAGGTTGACCACACTGAGCTCTAGTCTGTTCGAACCACAAACTTCCAGCACAGGAGGGATTGTTAGCAGGTAGAAACTTTCTCTACAGAGAATAACAATAGGTAGCATTTATTGAGTACCTACCGAGCATGAGGTACTTAATAATCTTAGTGTTATAGGCTAGGCACTGTTTTAAGCACTGTGTGCATATGTGTGTATATGCATACATAAAGGTACATATACACACACATGCAAACGTGTGTGCATACAGATACATATACACAAATATACATAAACCAGCACACACACGTGCACATATGGATATCTACATCTATACCTATATCTGTATTACCCGTACCAGCATATCTATATCTATCTATATAAACGTGCACTGGTTTTGGCACTAGACTAAGAGGCAGAAACCTGGTTCTTGTCTGAGCTCCTCTGTGTGATCTTAGCCAAGTTACTTGTCTTCTTCTAGGCTTCAATTTATTAAAAATGTCAAGTGGAAGAAATAATGACACTTACTTTGTAGGCTTTCTGGTAAGGACTAAAGAGATATAGGTAGGTACCATTATTAGCTTTACTTTACAGATTAAGAAAATCGAGGCATAAAGAGTTTATATAACTTGGGCAAGGATACATAGGTAAGGAATGGGTGGCAAACAGAGGCTTGAAGCCCAACTGTCTGTCACCTCTGCATCATCTAATTTTGATAAGGTGACATTTTCCTCTTTATACCTATGAAGAAATTGAGTCATGGGAGGAGACAGCAGCTTGCCTGAGATCACACAGAGGAGCTCAGACATGAGCCAGATCCCTTGTCCCTTAGTCCAGTGTCAAGACCTGCACTAGGAAGGTTGCAATATCCACAGAGCCAGCCCTCCTGGGCCCCAGGCTGTCCTAGGGCATGAGACAAGGATGGAAATGGGGACCGAAGGTAGGATAGGATCAGATGAAACCGTGGGCCTTTGTGTGCGCTAGGGGAAAAGCCCTTTCTAGGTGAATGTAGCTCACGTCAGGATACTGATTTGGCATATGGAAGAAGAAGAACTGATTTCAGTGCCCACCCATTTCTTCAGCTGGTTCCTTCATGCAGACATAGCCTGTGTAACTCTTTATGACAGCCTGGGCTACAAGAGCTCCCACAAGCAGGCTAGACAAAGCCACTCAGTGCCAGGTTGTTAAGAAATTTGTCCAAGGGAACAGGCCATTGGCTTTGTTCCAGAGATTAAAAGGCCACTAATTAAAACTACCAGGGTTTGCAATATCGAGATATACAAGAAAAGAGTTGAGCCTTGATTCTCTAGTAAGTATTAACTCTGTAAATGCCTGCTTAGAAACTACAGGATGTTGGATTAGAACACTATGAGCAATTGATATTCTGTTACCTATGTTTCATTTGAATCCCATCCAGGCACAAATGTCTACTCATGCAAATGTATCTTCTTTTAACACAGACATAAACTTAAATGTCACCTAAAGCTCAGACTCCAAAGGCAAGCCAGTGTTTAAAACCTGCCTTTGAATTAATTTTAAAATCTGGAGCTGCTGTGAA